GCATTTAATAACATCACTGCCCTCGTGCTCAATGAGTTACTTACATTAAATGAAGTCATACTATTTGACCGACGAGAAGAGGTAAAGGAATTCTTGCTGTTTAACTATGTAGACGAAAAGCTGAAAGCCGGAAGCTCACTTTATGATCTTCAGTTGCACAAACTCAGTTGTCAACTGAACGACATTGACTTTGACTTGTATGGCAATGCTATATCTGCATTTGTACGATGCGGCATCCCACTCCTAGCTATACACTTCAACGACTACATCACTAACCCACCAGCCCACATTATCAAGACTCCAATTCGCGCCCCAAAATGGCTTAGACTCTACAACACGACTTTAGACTCCTTAAAATTAGATCTAGCCACTTGCCAAGCTAAAACCGCCATTAATCTCAATTATTTCACTAGACAACTGCATCTCCACTTCGCTACCTCCAACGAGCCCCTAACCGAAATAGATTTAGCCACCACCATCCGATGGGTCATCTATCGATTTAAGAAACTAGGTGCCCTCCGAATCAGCAATATTAAACTAACTCAAGAAGACCGGCACGCAATATCCACACATACATATTGGATCAATGACTTTCCGAGAATCAAATCCATTCAAATCGAAGAGACTAACCCCAACAATCCACCCATTACCTTACTAACTTGGCCCTATCACAAGAGTTCACTCATCAGTCGCCCCAATACCAACAAAGACTTCACTATCGTCTCAGCCGCCATACTAGCACGACTAGCCACTCAATCCATCCAACCAAAGAGTCTTATCCCAGCCCATCTCGAACCACAAGAAACCCTCCAAATGATCCTCAACAAGATCCAAAGCACCATCCCAGACACCACTCAATCAGACACAGCACAATCGGACACCACTCAATCAGACACTACTCAATCAGATACCACTCAATCAGATACCACCCAAGCAGACACAGCTCAATCAGACACAGCTCAATCAGACACTACTCAATCAGACATTTCGTGCCCAATCTGTTTCCAAATCCTAGACAAGTCCACTCAACCAGAGCCCACTCAGTCAGAACTCATTCTGCCCACACAACCACCTCAACTCATCCAGCCAGACCTCACCCAACCAGAACCCACACAACCCCCAGACACATACTTCAATAACCTATGCTACCTCCAATGTGGCCACCAAGTATGCACGATCTGCACCTTACTACTTCAAACCCATGAGCACTATACATGTCCCATCTGCCGCGGGGTCTTTAGCACTCAGTCCATTAAGCAACTCATCTGTATTCCCCTCTCTAGCTTTGTATTTATTGAAAGCAGCACCACCCATCCCGACTGGCTCAAACATCTAGCCCTAAAAGACAACTACATCTACCTCCTCCACTCCCACCACAGTCTATCCGACTTCTCCGAAAACCCATCCATCACCACTCCCCAACGCGTCCACATTATCCAACTCCATCCCCACCAATAAACCAACATAATTCGTCTAATTCATCTAATTCGTTTAATTCATCTAATTCGTTTAACTTCCTCTAATCTAATCTAATCTAAACCAATACCAATTTAATCTAAAACAAACCCAATCTAATCCAATACCAACTTAATCTAATCTAATATTTGGAACATAAAATCAAAAGCTAACTCAAACTAATTCAGAAACTAATTCAGAAACTAATTACAACTCAAACTAATTCAGAAACCAAACTAAACTAACTCAGAAACCAAACTCAACTCAACACAACTTAAACCCCAACTAATCACAACATAACTCAAACCCAATCTAAACTCCAACTAATCACAACCAACTCTAACTAACCCCAACCAACTCTAACTAATCTAAACTCAAACCAAATTAAATTGCATGCATTTATTGCTACTTACCTTACTTGCTAGATAATCCTCAACTTATCTTATCGAGTTGATCCAAATCCAATCAAAGTAACTCCTTGCTTCTTAAGCGAGTAGAGCACGTCCTGGCAAGAGACAGTCTTTCTCTTACCGTGGTTGCAGTAAGTCACTGCACACCGAATGATACCTTCTAAGTAAGTCTTGGCCATCGTGTTGATCTCACTGTACACTCCAGCACTGACCCGCTTCACACCACCTCTACGCGCTAACCGACGAATTGCTGGCTTGGAAATACCCATTGCCTGTTGAGTTGCCCTTCGATGTCTTTTGGCCGATCCTTTTCCTAATCCTTTGCCACCTTTTCCTCTTCCTGCGATAGTCATAGCTTAAACAAAACAATTATTATTTATACTTTGGTTTCCCGCCATTATCTGCCCGCCAAAGGTTTGCCGATTTGGCGGGTAATTGCCCGCCTTTTTGTCTATTTAAGAAGATGAAGGTAAGAAAGTATGGCAAGAACTAAGCAAACGGCAAGAAAATCAACTGGAGGGAAGGCACCACGTAAGCAATTAGCTACAAAAGCTGCTCGTAAGAGTACTACTGCTGGGACTGTAGCAGTGAAGAGACCCCATCGATTTAAGGCAGGTACTGTAGCTCTAAGGGAGATTAGGAAGTACCAGAAGACGACTGACTTGCTTATTAGGAAGCTTCCTTTCCAGAGACTAGTAAGGGAAGTGGCTTCTGAGTACAAGGCTGATGTACGTTTCCAGTCTTCTTCAATTCTGGCTATTCAGGAGAGTTTGGAGAACTACTTGACTGGATTATTTGAAGACAGCAACCGGTGTGCCATTCATGCCAAGAGAGTTACATTGATGGCCCGGGACTTACACTTAGTGAATAAGATCAAATCCGCGATCGTAGCATAATAAATGGAGTAGTTAGTATTTGGGTTAGTTTGAGGTGGTGTTAGGTTGAGTTGGTTTGGTATTGGGTTGGTTTGATAGATGTAGTATGGTGTTAGTTTGGTATGATAATGGGTTTAATTTAAGTTAGGTAGATGTTAGTATTGGTTTAGTTTAAGTTAGGTAGATGTAGTCTGGTTTAGTTTAAGTTAGTGGATGTAGTGTTGGTTGAAGTGATAGTATGTGGTGGTATGTGATAGTAAGTGGATATCGGTGTTGGAGTCAAAATTTGCGAATGATTGGGTTAGTTGGTTTGGCGGAATATCAGCAAAAGGGAGTAGAATGGATGCTTGGGCGATTGAGGCGGCGGGAGGGCGTTCTTTTGGGTGATGAGATGGGGTTGGGGAAGACTTTGCAAGTATTAGTGGTTTTGTCGCGACTTTGGTCGGAGGGATGGAAATCAGTGCTTGTTTTGGGACCGACGACTGTACTGGGGAATTGGGAAAGTGATGTGCGTAAGTTTCAAATTGAGTTGCCTTTGGTAGTGCTTGCGGCGGATCATGAAGATTTAGTGGGTCAGTTACGTGGGGCGGATGGGAAGTACGTGGTGGTGATGGGGTATGAACTGGCTGTGCGTTTGGGGAAGACTTTATTACGGTCTTACTTTGATGTAGTGGTGATGGATGAGGCGCAGCGAGTTAAGAACCGAGAGACAAAGATAGCTCAACTTTGCCGGCGGTTAGATGCCCGGGCTAAGATAGCTATGACGGGAACGCCAATTCAGAATAACTTGAATGAGTTATGGAGTTTAGTGGATATAGTCCGGCCGGGATATTTAGGGGATAGTCAGCGGTTTAAGTTGGAAGTAGCCGATCCATTGAAGAAGAGTAAGCTAAAACGAGCTACAGCCGAGGAGAAGAGTCGGGGTGCAGCAATTAGTGAGCATTTGCAAGACCGACTAACAGAGATCATTCTACGGCGGACGAAAGAGGAACAACAAGTGGTTCAAGTAAAACTAGAAGAGATAGTAGTGAACTGTCCTTTATCTAAGTTGCAACAGCGTCGGTATGCAGCTGCCCTAGCTGATGACCAAGTACGTTCAACTATTCTTGGGCGTACTAATCCGCTTAAGACTATTGCGGCCTTGCGCCAAATATGCAGTCATCCTCGACTGGGCCGTTTAGGCCTAAATCATTCTCACTCTTCCCCCGCCCGATCTAAATCTAAATCTAACACACTACCAACCCAAACCAATCCCAACCCAATATCAACCCAATCTAAATCTAAACTCCATCGCTTGCTGCCTGCTAAAACGGCCTTAGAAAGTGGCAAGATGCAAGTCTTACACCAACTTCTCTTCCAATGGCGCAAGAAGAACAAGAAAGTCTTAGTATTCAGTCAGTACCGCGAAGTACTTGATTTATTAGAAGGTCTTATTACTGGCCATTGCACGCGCATAGATGGCACTACTCCCCGGGCTAAACGAGCGGCCCTTATTGAAGCTTTTGGACACCAGGCCGAAACTGAAGTCTTACTGCTGACTACGAAAGTAGGAGGAGTTGGAATTAATATTCAGAAGGCCGATACAATAGTTCTTTTTGATATGGACTGGAATCCTTTTAATGATGAACAAGCTAAAGGAAGAGCCCATCGAATTGGCCAGACTCAGGACGTGATTGTCTTTAAGTTTATTTGTAAAGGGACTATTGAAGAGTCCATCTATACCAGTCAAGAGATAAAATTGGCTATTTCCAAAGGTGTCCTTGAAGGAACTCCCAGTAAGAAGGCCTTCGATAAAATCGACCTCTGCCGGTTGTTTCACTACTCCTACGACCCATTAGACCTCACTGATATCTCTGAATATTAAGTAGAGTGGTGTGGAGTGGTGTAGAGTTGAGTTGAGTGGAGTTGAGTTAAGTAGAGTGGAATAAATTGATTAGACTTAGATTTAGATCAATTAGGATGTATTTAGATTTGAAAATTGGACTAGGCCAATCTATGAAGGGCAGATGAGGTTTCTGTTGGGGTGGAATGACTAGGGATAATGCTGGCCTGTGTATCAGCTGCCTTATTAAGCAGTAAAATATCACTACTGAGCACCCAGCCTGTAATTACTAGGCGGTAAGTTTTAGCTTGCGCACTTTTAACAGCTCGACATTGCACAGTTGGCCGACTAGCTATCCCATTAAAGAAGAAAGAAGGTGATAAGATAAAAGGCAAAGGCACAACTGATGATGCTTGAAAATTCAAAATTATATCCAAGATAAACAATACACCCGTTCCGGCCAAATAAAACCCATCCTTATCCGATTGGAACTTCTTCTCCACTAGCAAAGAATGGTCCTTATCACTACAAGCAATCCGTAAGGCATACCGCTTCTTCTCCACACAACAAAGCAAACTACATCCACCATACCCTGCCGTATGAAAGAAGCACAAAGCCTCTTCCACATAAGCCATAAAGGCAAACTCCTTCTTATTCTGAATACAAGCCGCCCGATACTCAGAAAAGATACCTGATAAGGCCTTTCGCCAATTAGTAAAGATAGCAGCAAAAGAAGAACCCTCTTCTCGTCTAATACTTTCAGTCTCTGGTACATGGTAGTACACTCGGTCTTGCAGAACCGTTTCTATACCTTTCTTCTGATCTTCAGTTACGTTAGATTTAACTAGATTAAAAAACGAGTATCTATCAATTGGATCGGGTTTAGGCTTATCTTCTCTTTTTACTGATAAGGACTTAAGAATTTCTGCTTCACTAGTTACTAGGCTCACTTCTGTTTTGATTTTACTTTCCTCTGTTTTGACTTTCTTAGGATAATCTTGGTCTAAAGTACTACCTAAAACTTGGCCTAGTCGACTTTCAATTGATTTATCTGGTACAGAACGGGCTTGAAAGGGATTAACCGGCATAGTTTCAAATTTTTAATGGATACACCGATTAAAACCAAGCCCCAACGTAAACAAGCCCATCAAAACACATTTGCTTTCAAGCACAACCCCAATTCTCAGCTTACTAAGAAGATTGCAGCTATTCCTATTGTTAATCTTTGCCGCAGATGTACAGATAAGATAGTTTGGAAGAAACAGTATCGTAAGTACAAGATACAAAATCATCTTTCTAAATGTACTATCTGCTTAGAAAAGAGAATCCCACTAGCCTATAACATTGTTTGTGATCCCTGTGGTTCAGCTGCTAATATTTGTCGTATGTGCCGCATTCTACTTACTCCATCCGACTCAGCTCCAGCAAGTACAACTCAACCCAATACGACTCAACCCAATACAACTCAATCCAATGCAACTAAAACCGGCCAATAGTTCTATTTACATTCCCCCCTTAATTAGTACTAGTTAGTACTGTTTAGATTAGCACTAGTTTGCAACACTACTTATTATGACGTCAGCTAATATGACATTAATTGTTCTAATACAAACTCAACTCAATTTGACACTAGCTATTACAATAAAGAGAATGACATCTATTTTGTCCATTATAACCACATAATAACTTAACCTAACTCTATACTAATTTAACCTAACTCTATACTAATTTAACCTAACTCTATACTAACTTAACCTAACTCTATACTAACTTAACTTAAGACATATTTAACTAAATCTATTTAACCATTATAACTACATACTGCCCTACTATATAAGCAGTTTAGATCAACTTATATCAACTTATATCAATCTAACTTAACCCAATCTAACTCAACTCAACTCAACTTAACACAACTCAATCTAATGTGTAAGTGCTGTCATTATAGTTGGGTGGCGTGGCTGGGTATTTGGGCAGTGGAAGTGCTTTTGGTGACCCGGAGAGGTGGCCAGTAGTTCTTGTAGCTCATTTGGTCGATGGATTTAGGAGTGCGACAAAGAATAAAGTCTAGAGTTGTTCCAAAGATTTCCTTGAAGTTCTCTTTGCCCCCTTTGTTATACGGATTCTCAGGGACGTACATGCCTAGTCTTTTGAGCCGGCGAGCTTGTAGCATTTCTAAATAAGTCGTGTTGTACTTGATAATTCGGATGTGTCTAATGGCTAGAAGGCCTAGAAGGACCATTAGAGCCGCAATGACTAAGATGTTTATACAAATCATGACTGAACTGAACCGTGGGGCTATCTTGCCCTGGTGAATGCGCAACCGACGCTGAGCTGCATACCCATACAGTGCTAAATGGACCACACCAGTAACTAGAGTCACAAAGATAAGCTTAGTAAAGTTGCCTAAATTCCGGCCATTCACACACGCTCCAATCCAAGCACAATGATGGTCCATCCGATTAATGCACCGCTTACACCGCGAACAATGATGCACTCTTTCAGCCTTAGCATGCCGGCACTCATAGCAGTACTTGCCGCCTAGCACGTACTCCTCCGACTTCACATACCCACGCGTATTGCTAACTATAAGAAACAAACCAGCCACCAACGCTACCAAGCAATTAGCTACAACCGTTAAACCACGGAAGAACATACTCTCCTTAATGTCCTCCCAAAGAAACAAACCCGGAGATAAGACTCCCAAGTAGATAAGCAGAACTGAAGTCAGACTTATTCCGAATATATCGATAATGTTTCGATTTGTATAAGACATACACAAATAGTAAATGATCAAAGTTTTATTTATGCCACCCATCTCTCCAATCTTAGATTCAGTCTTTCGACTTATCCTAAACTAATCCAAGTCTTCTTTGGGCTGAAATACTACGCCAATCAATAAATCAAAATCATTTGACTTAAATTTAAGTTATTCAATAGTCCAGCCTTGTTGTTCATCTAAAAGGGCTTTAGTTTGTTGTCGCTCTTGTTTAGCCTCCTTGCGCTGACTAGCTCGGTACCAGCGATACTCCTTTTGGTCTTGGCACTTGATCTCTTTGCCACGATAAGTAAGTTTTGTCTCCTTATGCACATAGTTAGAACTAAGATGTAGTTTGATTTGGCCGTTTTCTTCAGAGTAAGCTACACGAGTGACTGTCTTATGGCCGCAGTGTTTGCAGAAGTCAATTTGGGTCGTATCTTTGTAGATTTTAGTGCAGGTGTAACATCTTTGTAAGAACTGCCGGGTTTCTTTCGTGTACCCATCAAAGTTCATCAGACCGAGTTTATGGAGGAGTCCGATTAATGTTCTGTCTCTGGTAATACAAACAACTTCTGAGTCTGGTTGAATATCTGGAGTAATCCAAGTAGAGAAGGCTGAGTTGACTTCTCTAGATATCTCTAGAGTAAGAGCAGCTACATGAATATCGGGCAGACTAAGAGCACTGTATCCTAGTTGTAGAGCCGTTTCTTGAGCTTCTTTAAGAAAGTTGGGTTGAGGTTCACGTACTTCTATGTTGTATTCATGCAAGGAAAAGAGATTCCGACTGTTTTCACACTTCAATTCAGCCACTACTAAAGGTGGAATGAAAGCTTTGGAATAATTAACTTGATGTATATTTAATCCAAAAACACCCGAAGCATCGATAACCGCAAGTGTACGCATGAAAATTCAAGCGTGAAAACTTTGGCATAAGTATTAGATTGCGTTGAGTTGTGTTGCGTTGTGATGGTATTATGATGGTATTATGATAGTATTAAGTTGTGATAGTATTAAGTTGTGATAGTATTAAGTTGTGGTTGATAAAATCTGTTTGAATAAAGATATGTGTTAAGTTGAGTTAAGTTAAGTTAAGTAAAGAGATAGTATTTTGTCTGTTGAGATTAAGTTGTTATACTGTTCGGTCTGGCATATGTGGGTGGCTGTTGAAGTGATAAGAACTTAAAACACGGCACAACCCAACATAACATAACACAATACCAAATATATCAATCTACTAAACTAATACTAAACTCATACTAAACTAATACTAAACTAATACTAAACTAATACTAAACTATCTAAATTGAATATGAAATAGTTTGATAACATTTAATCTTGCTCTATCTAGAGTAGCTAGTGCTCAGATGGTGGTGTGGTGGTGATGGTGCGAATGAGGTGCTGAATCTTGGGATAGTAAGGAGCACGTTTAAGTATTTGGTGGTTGAAGTAGAGCTGGATGTGCTTGGGTAGTAGAAGATACCGACTGGCGTTGATGGTATAGAGTAGTTGTAGGACTTTGTCAGTAGCTGCTTGGAAGGCTAGGGGATTTAAATCAGAACGAGTGGCTCCTAGTAAACAACTAACTGCCAGCTTAATCTGTTGTTTAGTATTGATTAGGCGGAACTGATTGGCTCGTCTAAAGTACCCATGATAGTTGGCTCGTTTGATATGGTACTTAACAAAAGTAAACAATGCCCGACCAGAAGTCTTTGTCGCTGTACGATACTTAGCTAAACTCGGACGTAAAACCGGACTAAGACTAGCCGTATCAAAAGAAACACCACACCATTTAAAACTATCGGCCGTAGTAAGAGATAAACCGGCAATCACTTGTTTAGGCATACTTTCACTACTACCATCCGTACAGATAAGAGAACACTTGCTTAAATTAAGCTCTAACCCAAAAGTAGATTGGGTATCTAAAAGTCGCTCAATTAAAGTACTAATCTCATCTAAACTCCAAGAAAGTACAAGTGTATCATCAACATAAGTTATTGCTCTAGTTTGTTCCAAGCCGGCATAAACTTGATTCTCCAGACAGGCAATATAGTACATACATAAATGTGAAGAAAACGCATGGCCTTGTGATAGACCTTTAATCCGCTGATAAACTTGGTCTTTGTATGCGATATATCTCTCTTGAATTGCATCACGTAAAGTAGGCACAATACAACTTTCCGTTAAAACATCATGGGCCTGCAACTCTTTAAACCTAATACCTGGCTTGTACTTAACTGAACTGCACTTAGTTGGACTAGGATCACTCAGTCGTGATGTTTTAGGTCCTTGAATCTCTTTCCGAGTCTTTATGTTTCCTTCTAAATCACGCAAGCGCCAAGTATTAATCGTATACTCCTTCTTCTCTAAAATTCGCTCGGGTATTTTCTTATCTTCTAAAACGTCATGTTTAATCGAGTCAAAACAGTTTTTGATATCTAATTGTAAAATATAAAGAGGTTTTTGATTAGATTTATCTTGTGAGTGATAAATATCAGCAATTTGAGCAATCCTTTCTAAACCTTCTTGAATACTAACAATTGTATTGGGCATACTTATCCGTGGGGGCGTTGACTGTTCGTTTTTTTGCTGGCTTGCCTTGTTTTTGATTTCCCAAGATAAGACACTCGTAATGGCTTTTTGCCGAAACCTTTCTTTCCCCCAAACGTCCTGGCCTGTTACCCGTTCGTTACATGTAGATCTAAACGTGTCTTTCTTCGGGTGTAAACGCAATCGAGGCAACTCTTCTACATTCAAAGTACTTTCGGCCACAGGACGAAAGTGTTCCTGCACGTACTTATCTGAGAACACACTAGCCAAGCCATTATACTCGCTTTTCAAAAAGAACCGAGGAGATAAGGTCTTATACAACCAAGTATGATTAAAATGTCGATAAAGAAGATAAGGAATATAAGCTACAAAGATAAACTCAACAGCACAAAAAAGCAAATGGCGATAAGTCTTCTGCTCCACCAAACTTACTCCCTTTCTCGGTCGACCAGGTACTTTAGTAGATATCCCAGTGAATAAGTCTCCTAGCAAACACTCCTCATTCTGATGCAAGAACTCCCAAATCCGTTTCTTAATTAGCACTAAATTCCCATCCGAAATCAAAGGCTTAAACACTCTACGCACAGCCCAATAAAGCATTTGAGCCACTCTTCCTAAACTCAACTCACAATCTTTAATACTTAACACCACTCTTTTCCCCTTTACTAATCCTTGCTTCTTCATATAAGCCCGCACCAAGGAATGTAAACTAGTCTTTCTCACTCCCTTAACCACCATATCCATAACTTCACCCCAACTGTCACCCTTACTTACCTCATCTCCAGTCATACTTATCTCTATCTCACTCTTACTTATCTCCATCTCACCCTTACTTATCTCCATCTCACCTCTACTCCTTATCCTATCTCCAGTCATACTTATCTCACTTAACCTAAATATATCTTCTATGTCAACCGTATCTATCTCTAATTGCTTAACTATTCCTAAATATTTAGCTTTTGGTTTTTTTCCTAATTGGGAAATAATTTCTGAAATTCCTCCTAAATAACTGATTATATCATTTTCACCTATCTTTTCAAAAACATAATAATCATCAAATAATTGATAAATTCCAGACTCACCAATTACTGTATAAATATCCAGCCAAGTCGAACCTTCGTACAACCGACAATACAACCCCGTAGCTATCACATGTTTATTCCGACGTAATCCAGATAAACTTTCAATAATCCGACGAGGATAATAACCAGCCTTATCTTGCTTATTACCAGGAATAGGCACTTTCTTATCACTTCCACGTTGATAGACAAAAATCGGACAATCTACTGCCAATTCAACTCCAGCCGCCAAAACCCGACCCAAAGGCACTAATTGACTATATAGACGATGTAACATGCCTAGAACAAAAAAAGGACAAAAAGAACGACACAGATGGGAATCGAACCCACACGCCCAAAGGGCAACAGGTTAGCAACCTGCCGCATTTACCACTCTGCCACTGTGCCTAACCCCATCGATCCCAAACCCTCCAAGACCTAAATCTACTCACCACTCTCCTCCTCTCTTCCTTCACCCCCTCCTCACTCCATCCCAACCCACTTCCATACCATCACCACCCACTTATCACAAACCAACTCAACCTAACTCAACCCAACTCAACCCAACCCAATCTAAACTTAACCTAACTCAACCCAACCCAATCTAAACTTAACCTAACTCAATTCAGCAATAAACAAAAACACAACATCATTTCCTATCTACTTACTACTTAACTTAACTTAACTTAATACAATCTAATACAATACAATCTAATACAATCTAATACAATCTAATCTAATACAATCTAATACAATCTAATCTAAACTTAACCCAATACCAAACTCAATCTAAATTCAACCCAACTCAATCTAAACCCAATCCAACCCAATCCAATCCAACCCAAGCCAATCTAAACCCAATACAATCTAAACTCAACTCAATCTAATATAAGCAAACAGAGGTGTTTTTATTTATGAAGAAGGAAAGGAACGTAAATGCTTATAGTTCAGATGGCCGTATCTATCAACTAGAATACGCCATGAAAGCTGCTTCTTTAGGTACTACTACGATTAGCTTTAAAGTCTCAGATGGTGTTGTTGTTGCTTCGGAAAAGAAGATAGTTTCTAGTTTACAAGTCCCAAGTAGTGTTAAGAAACATCATAAGATCTATGATCATTGTGGTTTTGCTTTCTCTGGTTTAAGTGGTGATGCCCGTACGATCATTAAGAAGGCTAGACAGAATGCTTTAGATCACCATCTCTTTTATAATGAGAATGTACCAGTTGAAGGTATAGTTAAGAGTCTTTCAGCAATGGCTTTAAACTTTGGAGAGAAAGAGGAGAGTAAGAAGATCTTTAGTCGACCTTTTGGTATTTCAGTACTTATTGCTGGTTATGATATAGAACCTCGTCTGTTTTCTTTAGATCCTTCTGGTACGTATACTGCTTATAATGCTAAAGCAATTGGATCAGCAGCTGAAGCAGTTACAGCTGAAATGGAGAATGTTTATAATGAGACATTAAGTGTACCACAAGCTATGGCTAGTATTTTAGGGTTATTAAAGTCGGTTATGAAAGATCCAATTACTAAGCATAATTGTGAAGTGATGGTTTGTACTCAGGCTGGAGTTAAGTTTGTGACTGATGCTGAAATTGAAGAGATTCTTAATGGATTGAGTTAGGTTAGGATTGGGTTAGGATTTGGTTGAGTTGAGTTGAGTTTGATTATCAATAAATGTGTTAGTATTTGATTTTGATAAGTATTTAGATAAGTGTTGAGTTAGTATTTGATTTTGATAAGTAGTTAGATAAGTATTTTGATATACTAACTCAATACTAACTGAACTTAACTTAACTCAACTCAATAGGAGATATACTAGATCCAATTTATTAGGCATAGGAGTAGAGACGGTCGCCGAGGTGGTTGACTGTTTTGATGGCTACTCCGATTCTTTGTTCTTCGACTTGTTGGTTATCCATAAGTATGATGCCTACGGCCATGGCATTGATTTTGCCGTAGCCATAGATAGCAACTATATCTCCAATAGAGACACTTGGGAATTCAGAAGTTTGGTGGAGAAGTCCTGGAGCCATGACATCTGCTCCATTAATAATATGTTTAATTGCTCCAACATCTACTACTACTCTTTTGACTATATTGGGACAGGCATGGACGCATTTAAGAGTAGGAATGAATTTATCAGCCATAATAAAGATAGGAAGACCGTTTTTAAGTATGTATTGGGACTTTTCTGGAGTTTTGATCGATTCAAGTACTTCATCCTTTCCTAAGAATTCAGAAAGATCGGTATCAAACTGGTTCTTTATCTGTTTTATAGTTGAATTAGAAAGACGATTCTTAGTAGACGAAACGAACATAAAAAAAGCTAGCGATTGGGTTTTTATGGCCTAGTATTGAGTTTAGATATGGTTTGGGTTTGGTTTTGATTTTGGTTTAGATTAAGTTGAGTTAGTAGTAAGTTGGTAGTAAGTTAGTATTAGTATTGGGTTAGTATTGGGTTGAGTTAGTATTGAGTTGAGTTAGTATTGAGTTGAGTTGGTAGTAAGTTAGTAGTAAGTTGGTATTGAGTTAGTATTGGGTTTTACGCATACTAACTTAACCTAAACTCAACTTAACATAAACTTAACTCAACTTAACCCAAACTTAACATAAACTCAATCTAAACTCAACTCAATACTTAACCCAACTTACTACTAACTCAATGTGATATCTTTTGTTTATTGATTATGGTGGTTACTTGCGGAAGATGTTAATCCGTTGGAAGATAGATCCAACTTGGGCTACTTCTGAAATGCATGGCTCGGGGGCTTGTAATGTTAAGAATGGTGCTGAAATATCATAGGTTAAGGGATGGAAGGGAATGGCCTGAATAGTAGTTGGTTTTTCAATTTCACTATCAACTGCCTTAAGATAAGCATTACTAATATAATTGTGACTAAAGAATTCACTGGCTTGTTGGTAAAGATTAGTCCATTGGTTGCAATACCTACTAAGTCTTTGCTGGCCTTTAGAAGTCTTTAGGTCTTTTAAACGGTAGAAGCCTTGCTTAAACCTTTCAACCCGAGCAATAAATAAGACTAGTTGAGCATCAAAATCCGACTGATAACGTAAAGTACGAATAAGTTCAGTGTACTGCTTGCCTTCAAATAAGTCTAAATCAGCTTGACTCCTAAAGATTAAAGGAATGTCTTTAAAGAGATGAGAAACTGGAGTGGCTGATTTAGTTGTTATACTAAGCATCTTCTTAATGACTTTCTTATCTGATTGAGCTACTATTTGATTCATAGTAGTAATGGCCTGATCTACTTCAGTTTGACTGCCATCTAAACCGGCTTGGAAGGCTTTTAAACGGGCAAATAGATAAGATTTAGTCTTATCATCAGAAATAGATTGAGTTAGTGCTTCTATACGTTTAAATAGAGCAGATTTAGCTGGTTGTTGGGCTAGATAGCGGGATCGGATGGTTAAAAAGAGCATTTCTAATTTCATGGCTTTAGATAAGGCTTCTGGGTGGCTTTGGCCTTGCATACTACGTAAGATCTCAATTGCTCTTGAGTTTTTGGCTTCAAGTAACTGGGGACTATCTTTAGTTAGAATAATAGTTCCAGGCAAACGACAACGCTTAAGAACAATAGCAAGTTCAAGTAAAGTAACCATGTAAAAGAAAAAAATGGGCTACTACGGTATATTAGTACTGAGTTGAGTTAGGTTAGATTGGGTTGGTGTTAGTATTAGTATTGGGTTGGGTTGGGTTTGGTTGTGTTTGGTTTGGTTATGTTTTGATATGTACTGATTAGATATGACGTCATCTTGTTAAAATAGTAAAGAGATAAGATTTAGTTTTGTTAGTATTGTGTTGATGTTGTGTTGTGTTTTGATAATGTGTTGGGTTGGTATTAGCAAAGAGATAAGATTTAGTTTTGGTGCTATGTTGTGTTATGTTACGTTATGTTATGTTATGATATTCAACTACTAACTAGATACTGATAAGATAAGATATGTTATTGAAATACTAAACTCAACCAAACCAAACCAAACACCAACCCAATCTAACTTAACTTAAGTAGATGGTGGGCTGAGCGAGGAGTAGAAGAGAATATAGGCGGTGGATTGGTTGAAGACATCGGAACGAGTGGCTCGACTGATTTCTTCATCGTTGGTGAGGTACCATTGGGTGCCTCGTTTTGTATAGGCAATGTAATGGCCGGAATCGGCTTCCCCGCTATGCAGAATGACTGAAGAAAGTTCATAAGCCTGTCCAATGATTTTGAACGTATCGGGGTACTCTAAGACTTTATCGATCTTAAATACTCCATTGTTGCGCATTTGGTATCGCTTTAAGTGGAAACAGAAGACTTGTGGCATTTCTCGGAGGAATTGTTTCTTCAGGAACCGTTGCTTATTCCCACACGCACATGTTTTGTCTACTCTGACCTCTTCTTCTCTTAAGTACGCCTCTAATGCCGCTTCTAAACCACTCTCCTGCACATCAATCCCTAAAGACATAAAAGGCTCAACGGCGGCCTCTTCTCGACCACATTCGGCACAGACAACTGATGTACCCAGACTCCCGCCAAAAGTCCGATGGGCCGCACATTGACACGGCCTTCCTCCCCGACTAGCCGCATGAATCTGCTGTCCTAAGTAAGTAAAACACTCTTGGGCATCCTGGTGCTCACTACTAGCTAGACCCGGAGCACCACGCCAAAATATCCTTACTAACCCCGAAATATCAACATATCCATCCTCACTACTGTACATTTGGTAAATAATCCGATTCAAAGCACAAGATAAACAATCTCTATCTCGGCACTTAGCTACACCAGCCTCAACGGCCAAGAAGTTCTGAAGGAAGAGAACATTACCCAATAATGCCTGTAATAAACTACTCATGTAACAAGTCCTTTTCAAATTCAAGAATCCCTTGACCCATTGTAAGTTCAAAGGCTTAAAGGCTCGACCCGGCGCACTACCACTACCAGACTGGGCTCTAATCACATCAGGAATAGCAAAGTACCCAGCACACTCTTCACATCCGATTTGACCTCCACGCACCACCAAAAACAAACGATGCCAAGTCTGACGTGCATGACTATGAACATGTCCTCCAACTCGACAAAAGATCTTAGCACACTCTAAACAGACCTCTAAACTCATCTGATCAGAGCATTCACAACATACTAAATTCTGGCCATTAGATATTGCTATCTCAAAGGCGCCGATCAAACTGGCACATCGTTCAGCAGTAGTTTCAGTGTCTAAATGAGTACAGGACATCTTTTATTTTTCATGCGCCGCAATCGGAGAAAAAGATCATCTTCTCCTCGATCTTCCTTTACTAAACGCGCCTTTCTGTCCGTTGTGCTAATTGGCTTGTTTTTGACCATCATTAAATTAGGGCGTTTTTGGTTACTTTTATCGTTTGGGGTACTAGATATACTGGTGTTTTCCGAGTTGTTAAAGGTGTTATTGGGGATTGGTGGTGGTTGGCCGGTAATTAGTGAGTTTTTGTCCAGTCGCTTATCTTCTTTGCCAGCTGGGTTCTTCTGGTGGTGTTTTGTGACTACAGGAGTGACTCATGGGCTGAGAGTAGTCTGTCCGGGGTATGCTAAGCTGGCTAGACAGATAGGAATGCCCATGCAAATTGTTGGGCTTATCTGGTTTTTATGGTTGTTAAAAGGGGGGATGTATCGGCAGAAGTTCTTTCATGCTTCTTTAGTGCTGGTTTGGGCTGCTGGGCTAGTGCAATGTACGAGTGCTGCCGTGGCTAATTTAGATCGTGGGATGTTCTTCTTTGTTTTCCCATGTTTACTGGTGGGCATTAATGATACGGCAGCTTATGCGGTGGGAAGGTGTTGTGGGCGGCAGCCATTAACGGCACTTAGTCCTAAGAAGACAATTGAAGGGTTTATTGGTGGCGGACTTATTACTTTGATTTTGAGTTGGCCGGCTGCCTACTTAACTAGAAGTATTACTGGCGAGGCGGTAGAACTAAGTGCCTGGATGGTTTTAGGATTAAGTATACTTGCTTCAACTATTGCTCCCTTTGGTGGTATTTTGGCGAGTGGGTTCAAACGGGCCTTTGGAGTGAAGGACTTTGGCCGACTTATTCCGGGTCATGGTGGAGTAGCCGATCGAGTGGACTGCCATTTGGTTATGCAAGTTACCACTCATGTATTCTTGTCATACCTTAAGAGATCTCGTAAGATAGAAGGTCTAATGGGTGAGATAGAAGAAAGACTAACTCCAGCCGAGATATTTCAGTTAGTAGAAGCACTAACAAGCGTTCAATAAATTTATACCCTTGCACTACTATGTCTGAATCTTGTGGTTGTTCATCCGATCAAAATCCTTGCCAGGACTTACTCATTGCCGCCTATCAATGCTATCTTAAGAACAAAAAGCATCCAGAAGTCTGTTTACAACAAGTACGTCAAGCCCAAGAGTGTTACACTCAATCTTCACCTACTTTCTTCACTCGTATTCGTAATCTTTTCCGCCGCTTCCCCAGACCTACTCTTTAACACTATCTACTCCCCATTCCACTCCATACCATTCCATACCATTACTTACCACGTACCACTTACTATTACATATTGTATCATATTGAGTTAGTCGTTAATCTTTATTTTACTACGTATCTTATCTTATACTATCTTATCAAGTTGGTGCTAAGTTAATATTAAGTTCGGATTAAGTTTGGATGGAGTTAGTTTGGGCTAGTAGAAGTGTTAGTGGTTGTTAATAGGTCTTAGTAGAAGAGATGAATGGTTTCGATGGCTGCATAGTAGAGGAATAGAATTGCGATAAAAGGTGAAAGTCGTTCACCAACAACTGAAGCTACATAGAGCGCTCGTTTAACTACTTGGGTCTCTTCTTTAGAGAAGAGAGTCTTCTGGGCCTGGACGGGTAAAAAGCCTCTTACATAAGTAACTGTACAAGTAAACAGTAAGACTAAGCGAAGGAAAGCATTGAAATTAAGTAAAGCAGTCATGGTACACAATAAAAAATGGGCATTAGTATTGAGTTGTGTTATGTTATGTTAAGATTGTGTTTAGATTGAGTTGGGTTGTGTTTAGATTGGCTTAAGTTTAGATTGGCTTAAGTTATGATTGAGTTGAGTTAAGTTGTGATGGTAGTGCTATTTTGATAACAAAAGAAGATAGAGTTGTTTTACTGATAAGATATTCTTGTCCTTATACTGCCAACACAATACTAACCCAATTAGCAAGTGCCGTATTCGATTGCCAATCTATTTTAAACTTAACTCAATCTAATACCAACCTAATCTATCTGGCCACTTAGTTATTGAATAACAAAAACTTGAATTGAATTGAACTGAGTTGTAATTAAGAATAGGTTAGGATTTATTTAAGTTTTAGATTTAGATTTAAATATAGATATAGATACGAATTACTGAGTTATTACGAACCCAACCTAACACCAACACCAACTCAACCTAACTCAACCTAATACTTACTTGAACTTCTTGATTACTGTATTGTAAAGAGTAGAAGTAGGAATGTAAGTTGAACAATCTTTATCTTCCAGAACTAGATATAAAGGAGAAAGAGAAGAGACTCTGCCTGAATGTGAGTTAATGGCTACTCTATCACCAATAGAAAGAGGAAGAGTAGCTAGAACAAAGGAAGATTTAGCTGTATCACCAAGAATAGTGCGATAAGATGAAATATAAGAATTAGGCAATTGATGGGCAAAGAAGGACGCAGTAGTAACAGCAGCATATAAAGAAGCCCGAGGAAGAAGTCGGTCAAGTAGATCTTTCATAAAAATAAAAGAGATACCGCATAAAAGGATGGATGAAGCACTCTATAATAAGACTAGTGGCAGAAGAGAAATACGCCAAGCTAGAATACTTCAAATATCAAGAGAGAGAACCAGAGAAGCCTTTCTGCGCTGGAAGCAATCATTGATTTCAAAACAAGACTTAGCTCAGTTAGTTAGAGAAGGAAAAGTAGATGGAAACTTAATCCGAGCTTGGAAGAAAGGAATGAATCTCTGTTGTGTTCTTTGTATTAGAAAAGGAAAGCGTTGTGTTTGTCGTAAGGTTAAAGGTATTATATGTACTAATTGCTTATGTTCCGGTGAGTGTATTTAGTTGGTATTAAGTTGGTATTAAGTTGGTATTGGGTTAGTGAAACTAAAGCAGTTTATCTCATAACACAATAACACAATAAGTCATATCATATACCAACTACTACAATAAACAACATAGTATTAACTAGTTTACATAAGCATAAGATACTTAACTCTTACATTATATTACAACATGTTTATTGAATAGTAACTCAGTAGATCATAATACAACCTAAACTCAAACTTAACACAACACCAATCACAACCACAACTTATAAGATATTAAACTATAAAGTCATTTTCGGATGACTATGGGACTACTTGACGCCAATCGCAAGTGCTGCAGCAGTACTGCAGTTTAGTTAGGGCTTTTATGCTTACGTACAGCAAGGAGTATGGGACAAACTAACTAAGGGACAAACTAACAGGGACCAATTAATATAGACAAACTAACAGGGATAAACTAACTAAGGGACAGGTGGACACTGCTGAGTGTTCGATAACATAGTACAGGTTATAGAGTTACTAGTCATGAGTCTCTCGCAGTGCCACGGACCTCAAATTCTCTCTGTATTTATACTTTGGAAATTTTCCTTATAAGGGAAATCTCCGTTTTGGGAGTAAAATTGCGATCTAAAAA